AGGCTCCATTGGGGGAAGACGGGGATCTTGCAAGTCAAACAAGTACAGCGGCAGGGGGTCGGGTTTGCACGCTTCCGGGCCTCGCTCTCGAGCAGAACACGTGTTCAGAAGTTGTGGTTGTGAGCTGAGCAATTGGTCACAAACATTCATGCAAGTCTGCGCTGTGGGTTCTCAACATGTAAAAAGACGTACCATCGTGATCCAGTTTGTTATTTTCCAGTTTGTATGTTGCAGGTCCGATATCATTATCCAGTTCGTATGTTGCAGGTCCGATGTTGTGATCCAGTTTGTACGTCCTCAAATTTACAGGTCCGAACCAATGTAGAGCCCGTACTTGGGCTCACATTCCCTCCGTACCTAGCCACTGGAGCGGAGTCCGTTTCGTTCTTGGCTCTGAAGGCACTGACGCATTTCGTGGACCGCATGATCCTCTTGGCCAAGCGAGGAGACGACCTGAGCCGACGTGAGGCCAGATCTCTCCCAAGTGCTTCCCAAGATGCTCGCAGAAGAGACATACTGACATATCTTTGCAGCCTAAAGTCCTAAAGGCCGGCGAGTGGCTCTACGACCCGACCCTGGTGGACAACCTTTTCAAGTTGGACACTCTTCGAAGTTAGACTTTAGGGCGGGTTGTAGCTTAGGGCTTGGGGGAGTGGGTTTCAGTAGGGCTTTCGTTGGGTACCAGCATGGTTTTAGGCTGAACCCCGTGCAAGTTGTGCTGCTTCAGGTCAGCAGCGATGAGGCCCTAACAAATGTCTGCATGTTAGCATGTGAGGTGAACTTTATGCAGTCGTGTCGAGCAGTCACACTGATTAGTTGCTGGTGATCTGGGAAGTGCCGTGAAACGGCACAAGCACTGAGAATGTCAGATGTCAGTCACAAAGAGTCACATCCACAGAGTTGCGTGGTGTTCCCAGCCGAACTGTTTGTAAACTCCGCCTAAATCTCTGGAGTGTTTGGGGCTCATGATGCAAGCCCTGCCGTTCCCTATTTAGGCGCCGGAGCGATACCCCGAGCAGAGCGAAGGGTTCTGCAAGGTCACTCGAACCATGAATCGCTGCTCAGCTGCAAAAACCGTTCCTTGGGGCATAGTGTGACATACTCCAGACCGCTGCTGCTGCTACCTCTACAACTCAGCATGTTGGCCTTTGCGGAAGAAAGTAAACGTACAGAGCTGCCAGAGATGCGGACTTGGTCGGCTGAGCTGAGGAAAGGGCGACTGGTCTGAGATGGCCTACATCGAGCTGATGTGAGCAGAGCTTCCAGCGGCAAGCATGGCCCATTGCAGGGTTCAAGGGTGTGCGCAGCGCGGTTCTTCCAACTGGGTGCGTGGGTTGGTGACCAAGGACTTGGCTTCTGTGCGAAAATTAGACTCTTCTGGGTTTAAAGCTTATTGGCTGAAGGGTTTTCTGGCCGTGGCCTGCTGGGTCGCACGGCTTTCCTGCCAGCTGCTAGCCTGAGAGCATGTACCGTCGTGCACCCATCAAAGATGCAAAAAGTTTGTGCCGATAGCTCGTCCACACAAATGCATAATATGCTAGGCCTTGCTGTCCGTGTGTTCAACACTCTAAAAGAAAGAGGCACCCGTGCACTAACGCGTGCATAGCGCAGTCGGGTTTTCTGGATGCTGCGTTCACGTTTGCCGCCGGGCTCGAGCGAGCTGGCGCGCGCTTAGCCCGTCTGAGAAGCGGCTCCCTCTTTTTCGGTTGACGTGCCTCGTCCGGTGTGTGTTTTTTCAGGGTTTCTGTAACTGTAGAAGTACGGAAACAGACAGGATCACCGGCCCCGTTTTCTCGAGCATTTGCACGTGCTTGGGCAGTGCATCAACGAAGGTGCTGTAAGGAGCGTCAAATTACTCGTTCCTTGCCGGGGAACGAGATCGCTTCACTACTCTAAGTTTCACTTGTGCGCAATGTGTTTGGTAACAGTAGGTTGCTGCAGGCGAGGCTGTGCGTCCACAGGTTTTGAATGCAATATATTCTGATAGTCTTGAGTCGAAGTTGGGCCCGAGAACGAGAAATACACCGTGAAAAGTGGAACAAACTTAGTTAGCTTGTACAGTGTTTGGAAAGCACTCTTTGCTGCAACTGTTAGTGTCTTTGAAGTGCTGAGGCAACAATGGCCTTCCGCCGCCTCCTGCCACGCCTGCCCGTGGCGCGTGCTGCGCTCAACTCGGCGGTGCGGATGCGCGGCCGCACTTGCGAACTTGGGTGTAGTTATGACGGAAGGGGTAATTACCGATATGCATCCCAGAGGTTGAACGAGAAAATGCATAGCTCGCGGTATGTTGGCAGAGGATGCGACATTGTGCGACAGTCACACAAGGCGTGGGAGTGACAAAGGTTTTCCCGTGGAACGTGCTTGGAATGGCTTACATGACCTTACATGTCCGAACATAGCGCTAGCCGTGACTGAGGTCGCTGCATGCTTCGGCGCCCAGGTCCGGTCTCGCACGAGAATTGCATTGCCGATATCATCCTACACGTTGCATGTTTCTGTGTTACAAGGTTCCCTCACAACTTCAGGTTCAGAATTGGGGGTATGCACGCACATAGGCCCCCGGGCCCCCGATGCAGCATCATGTTGAGGGATTGATTTCACGCCCTCCAAAGAGTTTTCCCTGTACTCCTCAGTGCTTATCACATCAGATCCTGAAGCAGGAATGCTGCGAAAGTGAGTCCAGCCGAGCTCACCAAGATCCTCAGCGAGCGCATTGCCAACTTCAAGGACTCGCTGCTTTTGATCGTGAAGTCCTGTCAAAACAGCCCCAGTTCTATCTGCGACCACTTCCTGTTTACATCGTGGTTGTAGTTGCCAGGCTGATTCAGGATGCCGAAACTCGGGCGTCAAGCTTCCACGGGATCGCTTGAGTTCTCAAGTCCTGCCAGGACCAGGCGGACGTTCAAGAAGTCGGGCGTGTGCTGTCAGTTGGCGATGGAATTGCTCGAATCTACGGCCTCAAGGGCGTGAAGGCAGCGATCCGAAAGACATGACTGGTCTTCAAAGACATTCAGTGGCGCTGGTAGTACTGTAGGCCAACAGCTGAAGGACGTGGAGGAGGGACTAAGGCTATGGTCGTCAGTATCACGCTCAAGAGGTTTTGGTCCTGATCATGATGTGAAGCCCTCCCTTTCTGCCCAGCCCTTGATAGCGAATCTCCATGTACAAATCTGTTGAACGACAGAAGCCCTAAGTGCGAGCTCCCTTCAGAAGCCTGGCGTGCCCGATAAAAGGCCGGAGAGATGGTCGAGTTCTCCAGTGGCCTGAAGGGCATGGCCCTGAACTTGGACGCTCGACGGGTTGAATCTGGTAGACAGCATTCCAGCAACAGCAATGGTAATGGCAATCCGGAGAATCATACTTCCAGTCATGGTTCACCGTCGTGGGATCCATTTGAGGTGCCCGGAGTTCCGAGGCAGTTTGGCCATTTAGTCCTTTGTGAAGTTGGAGGTCTCAGTGCATAGTGTTGACGGCAAAGGAGACAGACAACGTGGGTGTGGTCGTGTTCGGAGACGACCGCGCAATCGTCGAAGGCCGAGCCTGAATTCGAGAGACGAAAACTTATCAGAATGGACGGCATGAGACTTTTCACATGCACACATATGCACATAGCATGAACTTGGGAAGCAAACGTGTGAAGCAGTCGCAGGTGACAGCGTGAAGTGCACGGGGACCATCGTGGATGTGCCAATTGGCGAGGAGCTGCCGAGCCCTGAGCAAGACTGATGCGCAGAACGGCGTAAAGCCGTAAAGGTGGTTTTGTCCTTTTTGAGTCTGCTCCGGAGCTCCAAGGCTGGGCCGCGTTGTGGATGCCCTTGGCACGCCCATTGATGGCGCCGGGCCCATCCAGACAAAGAGCCGCCGCCGAGTGGAGCTCAAGGTCCGACGACGTCCATGCGAGCGAGCTTTGCTTTGTCTTTGTAGAGAGTTGATGAGCCTGGGAGAATTTAATGCAATGGTAGCGTGCCAATGCGCAGGCTCCGGGCATCATTCCCCGGCAAAGCGTGCACGAGCCCATGACAGACGGGGTGCAAATTCTTGCATTGCATGCACGCGGCTTGCAAGCCTCGCAAGAACGAGCGGCCCGTGCCGCACTGAGAAGTGTGGGAAACTAAGTAGCCCTGGGCAGGACCACCGGCCTGAAAGCTGTCGACAGCCTGATCCCAATCGGCCGTGGCCAGCGAGAGCTGATCATCGGCGATCGCCAGACTGGCAAGACCGCGATTGCCATCGACACAATCCTCAACCAGAAGGCCCACAATGCGTCACATCCAAAGCCCGCAGCTGGATTGATGTACACAGCTGAGTTTAGGCCATCAACGCCTCGGCTGACAAGACGGCCCACCTGTACTGCATCTACGTCGCAGTAGGACGCTGCTGCCGCGTGAAACGAAGAAGTTGTGCTGGAACTTGCCACTGCAAATCCACAGCTGATCACTTGCTAGTTCGCCTCCTGAACAGCGTCGGCACATTGGCTTCTTGTTGGCTGCCCTATGCCACGATGCCACTGAGCAGGACAGAAGCGATCCACTGTGGCCCAGCTCTTCGAAATTCTGCGAAAGAATGCTGCTGGGCCGACGATTGAATCGTTTCCGAGCTTGACATGTTTACTGTCGGTCGCATGCTGTGTGTTGGCTCTTGACTCGGGCATCTCTTGCAGACATCCGCCGATCATTCGCCTGGATTGGGTCTCTTGTGGGCTTCTGGGAGAGCCTAGGACTGCTTGAAGTACACCACGGTCGTGGCCGCGACTGCCTCCGATGTCTGCAGCACAGAGTGGGCATTTTTGTGGATGAAGCAATCCGTGAGCATGCAGCTCATGTGTCATCATCACCGGTAGTAGAGATAGTAGAGGAGACTGAAAAGTAATTTGTGTAAACATGGTTAAGTAGATATCTTTCTTCAAGTTTGTAGGATTACCACGATTAACCATTTTTTTGCAGCAGCAGCATTCAATGGGCGAAGGGGAGCCCTTCGTCGACAACACTGTAAGTCAGATGGTATACGCTGAATTTTGCAGTATTTTTCCAGGTTGTTCGGGGCGGCAGCGCCAATGACAGCAAGTTTCAGCAGAATGTGCTCTTATTTTTGCTTGCAGCACGTCAGTCGGACCTCAACTTGCAGATGCCGCTTTTGCTCCAGAGCACGAGTGGCATTGGAGCAACAAACATCGTAAACGGATCCAGGATGATTCCACAAGTCCGAAAGAACATGCCTGATTGTGCCGTCCAGCGGTCCAGCGTGTGCTTGTCACGGTCTTGTTTCCAGAATGATCTTGCCCACGAGGGCCGCGATGAATTGCAATCCACCTCGTGACTAGAAACCACACGGGAGCTCATCTAAGTCCTGCAGCACCTTGGAGTTTACAAGCTCTTGCGATGTTCCGTGGGATCAGCGTGATCATCAACCCCAATCCCTGGTGGACAAAAATCTCCGCAGAACCTAGGGAAGGGGTGAAAGGCTATCCTTCTGAAAGTCTGATGTCTTGTGTACTAGTCACTCGTTAATTGGGTCACCACTTAAACTTGCTCACGCAAAGGTCAGAGCAAGTCTCGGCCCTGCCTCCCAGCCTACTCTGTTGTCGAAAAGTCCCAGGCCGCGCCTCTTCAGTTCCTGGCGCCCTACACGGGCTGTGCCATGGCCGAGTACTTCCGAGACAACGGCAAGCATGCGGCCGGGCCCCGAGAGCTGGCAGAAGACCTCCGCATCAAAAAAAGGCTCTTCTTTCGAAAGGAGCTGTCGGCAGCAAAAAGAGAGTATAGAACAGGTGCTTGCTGCCGCATTTTGTGTCAGCATGTGTTGCAATGATGCGGAGCTTCTTGTAGTCACCGTAGTAAACATGAGTAACAGAGTAACACTTACCAGACCATCATCGAAGCCTTGTGCGAGGTCATCTTCTATGATGACCTTTCGAAGCAGGCAGTGGCGTACCGTGCCATGTCGGCAAGTTATCCACAGCAAAGCCACGAACATGCTTATGCTTACACATTTTTGTTTTTGCACTTCGCTGCTTTTTCTTGCCATCATCAATCGCTCCTGTGGCTCGAAGCTTTTGCTCTGTCTCTCTCTCTCTCTCTCCCTCTCTCTCTTTCTCTCCCCTTCGCCCCTCTCTGCTTCCCCTGCATCGTGCCTTTTGGCCGGCTTCTCAAATAGTCCTCCTCACGCGACTCGTTCTGACCCGTGGTCAGCCCCCCCTTGTTCGTACAAGTACGAGACTAGTTACGTCGATTACCCTGTCATGATGTTGTCACGTTCACGCTCACGATCATCACATGCATTGCCACGATGTCAGGTCTTGTTAACATGTCTGAGCCGTAAATGCCATGTCGCGAGGTTGGAATGCGACCCGGAATCAGGGTTTCCGAGTTTCTTTGCCGGGCCCAGCATAGTCGCATTCCTTGCGAGCCGGATCTCAAGTCCTGCAACTTCTGCTCGAGGTCAGATGTCGCTGCTTCTGCGACGTCCGCCAGGTCGTGAGGCTTACCCAGGCATCCCCGAGATGATAACAAGGTATAGCAAGTAGATAGCCGACGACAGTTTGGAGTCGGAGCCTGCTTTTCAGCCACATTTGGGATTGGGGTCAGCTCGGGGTCCGCAGCACGGCCCAGCTTCCCTGCTGCATCGCAGAATAGAGCTCGTGCCCTCTGCACGCTGGTGCAGTGAGAAAGCTCCCTCAAGAAAGCCCAAATGTATTGAAGAGGGATCTTGCAGCCGAGAGGTGATGTCTTCTACCTGCACAGTCGCTTGCTGGAGAGAGCGGCCAAGATGAACGAGGCCAGCTCTGATGACTTGATTTGGAGGACAACTGTTTCTGCATTTCTGCCAGACCACGCACGGTGGCGGCTCTCTCACCGCCCTGCCGGTCATCGAGACCCAAGCCGGCGATGTCAGTGCCTACATCCCTACGAACGCAGCCCGGTGAACACTTTGGTCACTGCGAGGTGTCAGAAAAAAGTAATGGAATTGCTTGGAGCCGCAAAGCGCCGAACTGTGCTTGGTTGTTCTGCAGCGTGACATCAGGTGATTTCCATCACTGATGGCCAGATCTTCTTGGAGACGGAGCTCTTCTACAAGGTCGGATGACTCCTTCGGGACCTTGCAGTTCAGCAGACTTTCGCATCGTAGAACAGCTGTGTGGGCTTCCAGCCTCAATCTCTTAATCAAGGTGTCAGATCCATAAGTCATACAGATCTCTGCCAAATCCGACACATTTCTGAGCTCTCCGTTCCTAAAAGAACCATCACCACAAGCCCTAAACGTATGCCTAAACGTGTCCCTAAATCGCCGAAACCCTAAGCCGGCCCCACCTCAGGGCATCCGACCGGCCGTGAACGTTGGCCTCTCCGTGAGCCGTGACTCGGTCAAAGTCAAAGTTAAGACATATCACTTGGATTTACATATACATCTACATGTATGTGTGTGATGATTTGTGACATGTGTATATGTGTATCCGTATAGATACATGTATGTATGTATGCATATATATATATACATATCTAT